TCTGGATTTTCTATTCTGTATCATTAATCTGTTTGTTATCTTTGGATCTGCACATTGTTTTGAGTACTGTAGTTTCTTATTAACTCTTAAAATTTCCTGAAGAAACATGATTTTGTTTCTTCCTTTCCAATCAGTATAACTTTATTATATAGATTAGAACTTCCAGTACAAGGTTTAATCTGCTATAACTTTAAAAATATAGCCAATTACATAATCACAAAAACACAAGTAACAAACTTACAGTGGCAGTTGGATGTTTCCAACTATATGACTGTTGTGACATTTGTGTAGCTAAAGTCATTAGGTGTTCTTTTAGCAGACACACAACAATTGGTCACTGCAATTGAAGCAGAGTAATATTAAGGAAGAAATTAATGTCTTCAAGTATAATTTAAACACAATTGTCTGAAGGCTTTCTAGGAAATAAAATGGGAATGCATAAAACTCTTTTTTTGAGTTAGCATCATACATCTAGGTAAAGCCTGTGCCCTCTAATCTTATTCATTGCTATATATATATAAAGTAAGCATCAACTTCTTATTGTGGATTTCTGATCAAGGGATCTCATACTGAAAAATATTGATACTTTGCCCTTCCAGATCTGAAAGAACAAATACACTACCTTTCGGCTACCCATTCACTGTCAAGCAGTCCTATCTCTAGTTGGAAAAAGCTTTTTTAAATGTCATGATTATTATAATGCTATTATATTTTAAAGTATAACAGAAAACACATACATAAGTACTTTAGGAAAAATTTTCCTTCAAACTAAAAGCTGACATTCTGCTTAAAGACGGACCAAATCTTCAACTATTTTTTGTAACACAAGGAATCTCCACATTAAGGGATCAGGAAACGTGAGCTTTATAATTCTATAATGAGTTCTAAAATCAAACAAAAAATTATTATTTCATGGGAATCCTTAAGCAACAGATTTATTCTTTAAATTGTATAATTTTATTTGTGCAAAGAATCAGGATAAAGCACATCAAAGTTGAGATACAGAAATCTTTCCACCTCAATTTGAAAAATATACGGTACTGCTCAAATCTTCTCTAATGTGATACTTTGGTAACAATCTACATTTTTATATTGCTGTGCAGCTTTATCTCACTGGCTGCTTTCTCACAGTGTAACCCATCATTTGGAGATCTAACACAACTAAAGATGCCTCTCTTGTCTTGGTGAGAGTAACTTTAATTCCTGTGACTATGTTGACTACAATTAGCAGTGCCCCAGAAGATACAGACTAGCAAGGTCATCTCTCGATTCCTTATTCTCTGACAAACATGGTGCCAAGGAATTGATACTGTTCAAATATTCTTCATCCCACTTTGAAACCTCCTCCTAAATCACCAGCTTTATGAATCATCAATTTTATTAATGATCTTGATGCTCGGACCCATCTTTGATTCCTAGAATACTGATGGAATCAACTCATTTGGGCAGATTGGTTCCAGGATAAGACCATGATGCCCACCCTCCAAATGAGCCTTCCCCTGACTTCCTTCCTCCCATGGCTTACGTCACTTCTCTGTTCCTCACACTCTGCTCCTCAAATCTTGCATCTCTTTTTTTTTTTAACATTTTTTATTGATTTATAAT